GTCCCAGCCTTTTAGAATTCACATGTCTTCCTACATTAAATAACATATAGACATGATACGTGATTCATGTCACTGAGGGAATGATGCAGTATGCCAATTCAAAGATTAGGTTATTAAAGACTAATGGCTTTTGTGTTGGGTGCTCTCTCTGTATCCTCTATCTCTTCCTTTGATGGAAGAAAGCTGCCATATTGCAAACAGCACTGTGGAGAGGTCTTCACGGTGAAGAAACGTGGCCAACAGCCCGTGAGGAAGTGTGACCTACCAACAACCATATAATTTAGCCTGATTCTTCAGCCCCAGTCGAGGCTTAAGGTGACTATACCCCTGAGCAACTGGCTTAACAGCAACCTCATGAAAAACTTGGCTAGAACCTTTCAGCTAGGCTGCTGCTGGTGTCCTGACCTCTTGAAACTGTGTAAGATAATACATGTTTTATGTTTTAAGTTGATATATTTTGGTGCAGTTGGATAAAGAGATAACTAATGTATTCCTTGATTTCTGTTTCTAACCTTGCCCTTTAATTCCCCTTGCTCTGTCATTATATATTAATTTCTTTAGTTTGTTTATTGTGTCTATGAGAACAATGACATTTCTCTTTGAGTTTCCTTTGTATTCTCAGCCTGGAAGAGTGTTTGGAATGTAACAGACAATAAAAAATGGATGAGTAATGAAAGTCTAAAATTTTTATGTAAAAGGTGATAGTTTTTCATTTACTGTTTTTAAATCAGTCTTCAGTGGTCTAACTTTAGCCATCTGTGATTATAGTAGACATCTTTATGGAATGCCTGCCCCATTCACTATGAATCCTCTTACCTATTGCAAAAAGTCAATATGACCACAAGCACTTGTCACTAATGATTGGATGATTGCTGGACACGAGACCTGCTGTGTTGGTGACTGGATGATGAGGGATCTGCTCTTATGAATAGATTAATCCATTCATGGATTAAGAGATTAATGGGCTAATAGATTAATGGGTTATCATAGGAGTGGGACTTACCAGATTCAGTCTCTTGACCTTGAACCTCTCAGCCTCTAGAACTGTAAGAAATAAATTTTTAAAAAAAATAAATTACCCAGTTTCAGGCCAGATACATAGCAAGACCTCATCTCTCTACATATATAGCTCTCATGTGGACTAACAGCAAGAACTCATTCACTCCTGGGAGCATGGCACCAAGCCATTATGAAGGATCCACACCCGCAACCCAGACTCAGAAACCCAAGCCCCATCTCCAACATGGCGGACCACATTTCAATCTAAGACTTGGTAGGGGGCAAACAAACCATATCCAAACCGTACCATTCATGTTGAAATTTATTTATTTTTATTTTAAATAGTTTGTTTTAATTTTTATTTTTGTGGGTACATAGTAGGTGTATATATTTATGAGATCATGTTAAAATTTAATCCCCAATGGGGAGTATTAAAAGATGGGGCCTTTATGATGAGGTGACTGAATCATGAAGGCTCTGCCCTCATGGACAGATTAATTCATTTGTAGATTAATGAATCGATAGATTAATGGATTAGATTAAGGGGTATCACGGGAGTAGAACTGGTGGCTTTTCAAGAAAAGGAAGACAGACCTGAGCTAGCACACTCAGCCCACTGGACAAGTGAAACCCTGTGCTGCCTCAGGACTCTTCAGAGAGTCTCTATCGCTTTCACCAGGTATAGTCCCTTGACCTGGGACTTCTCAGCCTCTATAACTGTAAGAAATAATTTTTTTCTTTATAAATTAGCCAGTTTCCGGTAGTCTACTATAAGCAAGAGAAAATGGACTAAGACAAGATCCAAGCTGAGCCAATCAGAAATTCTCCCCTGGGTATTAGGAATTAAAAGCAAAAGAGAAAGAAAAAGGAATCTCTTTGTGGCTGTCCCTCTGCATCAATCTGGACAGGCTATGTTGCACTATGGTAAGAAACAGCAGCAACAACCTCCAGAGCCTTAAGCAACAAAGGCTTATTTCTTATCTCAATATGTGTTGTTATGGTTTGGATATAGTTTGTCTCCAACAAAACTCATGCTGAATTTTGATCCACATAGCTTATTTCTTATCACAATATGTGTTGTTATGGTTTGGATATAGTTTGTCTCCAACAAAACTCATGCTGAAATTCGATCCTCAATGTGGGGATGTTGAGAAGTGGGGCCTAGTGGGAGGTGTTTGGGTCATGGGGTGGATCCCCCATGAAGAGATTGTTGCTGTTCTCGCAAAAGTCAGTTCTTGTTCTGAGACAGGGCAGGAATCCCTCTTAAGGGCTTGCTGGGGATCCTCCACCAAAACATGAAAATTTAAAAAAAAATTCCAGACATCTAGTTAGTCCTAAAAAACAAACAAATAAAAACTTAAAAGCAAGATGATAATAACAGCTTATAATTAATAGCCAAAAAATTAATGTCACAGGATATTTTATTTCCTATAAAAACTAAAGACAACATCTTAACATATGTCCCAAGTTGTTTTTCAGAAACCCAGATCCCCACTAAATGGATCCACTGGCACATAGGCCTGAAATAGGGAAGAACTGAAGACTAAACTCTGACTACTATTCTTTGTTCTAAATTTCTTCTTGAGGGGCCTTATGGAGACCATGCCCATGAGCCCAAGCTAACATTCTTTTCTGCTTATCTCAAATTTTTAGACAGTTTCATCTTATTAACCAGTCATAAATCAGAAAATCTTTAAATCTTCCTATGACCTGCCACCCCCCTCTTCGAGATGTCCTGCCAAAGCATGGCAGGCAAGCCCCAAATTGGGAATTTGCCCAGGAGAGTTCCTGGCTTCACCAAGAAAGAATTCAAGGATAAGCTGGTGGTGTTAAATAGCCATTTTTATAGAAGTAGTAGTGTCTAGAAGAAGCAGAGATACTGCTCCTTGCAGAGCAGGGCTACCCTATAGGCAGTGTGTCCAGAGTAGCATCTCAAAGGCAGTTCTTCTGTCATATTTTTAGTCACTTTTAATTACAGGCAAATTATGGGGTAGATTATGCAGAAATTTCTAGGAAAAGGGTGGTAGCTTCTGGGTTGTTGGGTTGTTGCCATGGTAAGGGGCATTAACTCCTGGCTGTTGCCATGGCAATGATAAATTGACATGACACTGTGGTGGGTATGTCTTATGGAAAGCTGCTTCCTACCTGGCCCTGTTTTAGTTAGTCCTCAATTTGGTCTGGTGTCCAAGTCCTGCCTCCTACCTCACTGCATTTTTAGGTTAAACCAATGATACAACCTCTATATATTCATTTATGATTTTGCCCAAAACCTCTTGCACCCCTCCCTTTAAAAACTCTTACCTGTGGCCAGGCATGTTGGCTCATGTCTGTAATCCCAGCACTTTGGGAGGCCGAGGTGGGTGGATCATGAGATCAGGAGTTCGAGACCAGCCTGACCAACATAGTGAAACCCCATCTCTACTAAAAATACAAAAATCAGATGGTTGTGGTGTTGTGTGCCTGTAATCCCAGCTACTCAGGAGGCTGAGAAAGGAGAATCGCTTGAACCCGGGAGGCGGAGGTTGCGGTGAGCTGAGAGTGAGCCATTGCACTCCAGCCTGGGCTACATAGGAAGACTCCTCTCAAAACCAACCAAACAAACAAAAACCATAACCAATAAACAACTGGGGAGCTCAAGACTTAAGCACTAACTGCCCAATTCTCCTTGCTTGGCACCCTACAACAAATGCCTCACTTTCTTTCACTACAATCCTGACATTGGTGTTTGGCCTTACTGCACAGGGAGATTGAATCCCAGTTTGGTTTTATAACAGCTCTTGAGAGATTAGAAAAGAGAGAGTCCCTGAGAGAGTGAGTTGTTATACAGTGAGCTTCTACCTCGTGTTTGGTCCCTTTGCACATGTATCATCAGCTCCCCGTTTGACCTTCTGCCATGTTGTGACACCACACAAAAAAACCCTAACCAGAAGTTGAGCAGATGCTGGCACCATTCCCCCTGAGCTTTCCAATGTGCAGAACCATGAGCTAAATATACCTCTTTTTTAAAAATCCAAGCGTACCTTGAAGATATTGGAGGTTCAGTTCCATACTACCACAATAAAGCAAGTATCACAATAAAGGAGTTCACACAAAGTTTTTGGTTTCCCAGTGCATATAAAAGCTATGTTTACACTTTAGACTACTGTGTGCAACAGCATTATGTCTAAAAAATGTACATACTAGGAAAACAAAAATAGGTCACAGCAGTCTGAGCTATGTGAGGCATGCAAAATTTACTAGACCCAGACAGATGTGAATACCAGGCTTTGGCCATGCCTTTCCATGCCTAAGGGCAATTGTTTAAAGGCATTTTGTTCTTGACTAGCTGCTTCACCCATTATCTTTATGTTCCTAGAATTTGTGATGCAAGGAAGAAAGCATAGCCAGTCAATAACTTATGTTTTTTAAATATAAATTCTTGGTAAACAAGTTAAGATCTGCTGCTTCTTCTTTCCTTAAAAACCCACTGTGACTGCTGGTAATTGGTGTGTATATTCAAGGCAACTGGAATCTAAGCTCCTGAGTGGCCATTCTCAACCACTGAGCCCAAATAAACTCTACACTGAATCGTATTTTCTGAATCTTCTTACTTAAGCTTGGCAATACCTTAATTAAAAAATACTTTATTGATTATGCTTATGAACATGGTCAAATGAGAGTCAACTTTCCTATGTATATGGGGATAATATGCAACTGTTAATATAAAAAGAGGGAAATGGGAAGCAGGGAAAAGAGGGGCAGACAAGGAGAACAAATGAGAGAAGGGAAGGGAAGCCAGAAGTATATCAAGGATAACAGAAAATAAAAAGCGGATAAAATTCAAATGAAAAAGGGAAAACCCCTACATCCTCCGAGAGGCGTCTCTCCAAATCTGGACCACAGGCTCCAAGCCACAGTCAGACAAGTCCCAGCCCGCTGGGCGCCGCGCGTCCGGCTGACATCGGCTTCCGGGATCAGCTTGCGGCGCGGAGCTGTGACGTCACCGGAAGCCGGCACTTCCGGTCCCTGCAGTCTTCCCGGGACCCTCAGGGAGAACCGGCCGCCTGGCAGGCGGGCAGGTGAGGTACAAGTTCCCGTGATTAGGGTGACAGTCCAAAGGAAGGACGGGCGGGCAGGCACGCGGGATCTGGCGTCCCTTCTTCTCTATGGTTCCTCGCAGAGCCCCTGTTGCCCTGGAACAGATGGTCCGTAGCAGCGAGAATAATGTTGCTCCGACAGCTCGCGGGTTCGGAGCCACTTGGCGTGGGGAGCCCTTTTAGCTGCAGGCCGGGCAGTGGCTTCCCCGAGCGCGGGAATGCAGCCTTTGAACCCCTAAGTGCAGCCCACCTGTGGGGGAGTCTTACGGCACCCGCATGGTGGAGTAGAGACCAAAAGATTGGGCAACCGGCCGGGAAGAAATGGCTAGGAGGGGGCAAACCCTGAGCCGGAAATTTTCTTTGCCTCCAGCGTTTAGTGCTCACGCCGCCTTTTATTCACGCCGAAGACCTTCACTGTAAACTCTCTTCCCTTGGATTTTAGTTTGGTTTTGTTCCCCACGCAAGACAGGAGGCATATTGGAACTCTTTATTCCTTGATTGATTGACTCGTGTCTTCCCTTGCAAGTAGTTACCGGACACCTGCTTTGTGTCCTGTATGCCAAGTACTGGAAGAGTTGGTGGTCTTTTAGTTGGAAGAACAAATCTGTATGGAGAAAGAGATACAACCAAAAGAAACCCAGAAGATTTAGGAACATCTCCAGAATGTTTATTCTCAAAAGCTGTTTTTTAATTAAACTTTTTTTCTGAAACTGTAAGTAGGAGTGTCTCTGTTGTGTGTTTCCCCATTTTTCCATCTAAAGGTGAAAGGCTTGGAAAACTGCTAAGGCCCCTCTTTCCAGCATGTAGCATTCTAGGGGACCATCATTGCAACACGATGGGTGCCCATCTAAATTTTGTATTTTAATATTTTGCTTTTTGATAATGCCTTTAGACTGGAGGACTTTTATCTTTGTTAAAATATTGCTCTACTTTCAGCCTTTTCTCCCTTGTAGTATTACCATAATATATTTAAGGTTAAGCACTTAATTCTGAAGTCTACTTTAAGTATACTTCAACTAGAGTGAAATTAGTGTATTGTTTCTAATGAGTGTATTTAATATAGATAAATAGTTTGTACACTTGTGAAATTCTTGGCTTTAACTGATGTCCGGGAGCTGAAAGCTGCTCTCTGGCACATTTTAAAAATGTGTGTGATTCTACAGTCTTCTGAGACTACAAGAAAGTTTGATGTCACAGTTGCCACCTTAGACATAAGCAAAGGAGTTGTGCAAAACAAATTGCCTTTTTCAAGTAAAGATAATTCAGCAAGTTAATTGTGAGTGTAGTGTGTGCTTTAGTTTTTAATATGTCCTCAGCAGTAGTCATGGATTTTATCTTCATTATTTAAGCTTGATTTTGTGACCCACTTGCACAAGAAGAATCTCACTGGGGTTAGTGTGCAGTCATTCAGATAGCAAATATAGCAAAAGTAGGTGAAATGTGAAAGTCGTTTTTGGAAAGTTGTGAAATTGCTCGTCTCACAACCAGGAGCAAAGACAGCTACACAGAATCTTGGTGTAACATATAGTCATTTTCACTTGGACTTTTCGTTTACAATCTTTTGCAGTTGGTTTTTTTGGGGTTCTTTAGTGTTATATAATATTTCAAAGTAATATGTGACTGGAAAATATTGGAATAGGTCTCAGAAGACTAGAATTTATTTTGCCACTTAAACGCTTACGACCTTGAACAAAAAAATGTGAACATCTGACCAGGCGGACCAGGCGTGGTGGCTCACACCTGTAATCCCAGCACTTTGGGAAGCCACAGCAGGCAGATTACAAGGTCAGGAGCTCAAGACCAGCCTGGTCAATATGGCAAAACCCAATCTCTACTAAAAATACAAAAATTAGCCAGGCATGGTGGTGGATGCCTGTAGTCCCAGCTACTCAGGAGGCTGAGTCAGGAGAATCACTTGAACCTGGGAGGTGGAGGTTACAGTGAGCCAAGATCCTGCTGTTACACTCCAGGCTGAGTGACAGAGCAAGACTTCGTCTCAAAAAAAAAAAACAAACAAAAAAAGTAAACATCTTTGACCTTCAATATCTTGTTCTATTAATTATGTACGTTTTAGTCTCATTAAAAAGAATATAATTGAGAAAGGAAAAGAATATAATTTGCAAATGAAAAGAAGTGAACAGCAGTGGTTTTGTTGCAAGGGGCCAGATGGTGATCAAGTCAGGATACAGAAAACAATTACTTGTTCTTACATGTTATTCTGGAGAAAGATGTGACGGATACAAATAGTTAAAGCAGACTGTAAAAATAATTTTGTTTATGCATCATCTATATTATGTTGACTTTCACCTGTATGTTTTCAAGTGTACATAGGGCTATGTACTAAGATTCCCAATTTTCCCTTTTCATACCACTTATACCTATTGCAATTAAATATGTATATAATTATTAATATTTTAAAAATCTTTTTATTTTGAAATAATTGCATATTCACAGGAAGTTGCAAAAACCTTTACAGGGATGTTCCTGTGTACCCTTCAGCCCGCCTCCCCTAATGGTAACATCTTGAATAACTGTGGTACAATATTAAAACTGGGAAATTGACATTGATACAATTCACAGAGTATATTTCCATTTCACCAAGCTTTATAAGGACTCATTTGTGTGTGTACACAGGTCTCACACAAGCTGTGCAGCTTCTTATAATTACCATAATCAAGTTATCCATCACTACAAGGCTCCCTTATGCTGCTTCCTTATAGTCAAACTATCTTGTCCCAACCATGTTCCTAACCCGTGACAACCACTACTCTATAATTTTTTTATTTTAAGGATTTATTGCTGAGTAGTATTCCATGGGATGGCTGTGCAACAGTTTGTTTAACCATTCATTTATTGAAGGACGTTTGGGTTACTCTATTATAAATAGAGCTGCTATGAGCCTTTATGTGAAGGTTTTTGAGTGAACATACATTTTTCCCACTCTGGGATAAATGCCCAATAGTATACAGTTGCTAAATCATATCGTAAGGGTATGTTTAGTGAATTAATACTTCTTTAGCTTGTTAATATGGTGAGTTAACATTGATTTTCAAGTGTTGAACATAACTGGTATAAATCTCACTTGGTTATGGTAAATTTCATATATTTCTATATTCTATTTGCTAATATTTTGTTAAGGTATAGGTATGAGAAGTGTGTTGTAGTTTTGGCTGGTTTCTTTTGTACTGCCTTTGTCAGACTTTGGTAGAGTAATAGTATTCTACGTGGTTTTTAGTGATAACCCTTGTTTCATTATTGCTACTATATTAGTAATTCGTGTCATTGTGTCTTTTACCATGGTGGTTTGCTGATTTTAGTGATCTTTTTCAAAGAACTATTTCATCTTTGTTTATTTTTCTATTTTCAATGTCATTGATTTCTGCTCTTATATTTATTGTTTTCTTCCATCTCACTTTTATTTTGCTTTTCTTTATCTAATTCTGTGATTATTAGTTTAAAATCTTTCTTTGTTTCTAATGTAAGCGTTTATTGCTATAATTTCCCTCTTGGCATTGCTTTAGTTGCGTCTCACACATTTTGCTGTCTTGTATTTTCATTTTCATTCATTTCTATATATTGTAAATTTTTCCTTTGAAATTTCCTTGATCCATGAAAATATTAGGAGTATGTCATTTAGTTTCCAAGTGTTGGGAGATTTACCTGTTGTTTTTCTGTTGTTGATTTCTAGCTTTTTCCACAATGATCAGAAAACATAAGGTGTATAATTTTTAGTTTTTAAATTTGTTTTATGGCTGAGGGTATGGTGTATCTTGATGGATGTTCCATGTATGCTTGAAAAAAATATGTATTCTGCTATTGTTGGTTGCAAGTTTCTGTACATGTCAGTTATGTTCTGTTTGTTGATGGTATTGTTCTGTTCTTCTCTGCCTTGTTGTCTGTCTAATAGTTATTTTTGCTGCTGAAGGTCCCAATTATACTTATGAGTATCTCTGTTTTTCCTTTTAGCTCTGTTGGTTTTGACTTCATGTGTTTTAAATATCTGTTGTTGGGTACACATACATTTAAGATGTTTTCATGGTGAATTAATCCTTTTATCTTTGTACAATACTTTTCCTTGCTCTGAAGTCTACTTTATCTGCTGGTAATACAGCCATCCCTATTTAAAAAAAATTAACCTGACATATCTTTTCTGTATTTTCTCACCATATCTTAACTTGTATTTTCAACTGATGTCATTATGTTTTAGTGAATTTCTCATAAACACTATATCCTTGAGTCTTTAAAAAAAGAAACTATTTTGCCAGTCTCTGTCTTTTAACTGGTATAATTATATCATTTACACTTAAAAGTATTTGTTGATGTGTTAGAGCTTAAGCCAGCCATTTTATTATTTGTTTTCTGTTTATTTCCTGTTTTTCATGTCTGTTCCTCTTTTCTTGTCTTTCTATAGGTTGACTGAATATTTTCAGAATTCTATTTGTTGTGTTTATAGTGTTTTTGACTATCTGGCTTAGTAAATCTTTTTTAGTGTTCTTTGGGTATAACAATAAGACGTAACAACTTACCACAAGGGTTGCTTGTATTGCCTTTTGCCAATTGAAATATAGGGATCTTACTTCCATTTAGGTCCTTTTACTCTTTCCCTTTTTAAAACTTAGTAGTTGTATTTTCCCTATACACCTTGAACACCCCATCAAATGTTGTTATAACATTTACTTCAACTATCAAATATGATTTTAAAAACTCATGAGGGGAAAAATAGTTGATTTTATATTTACCACTACTAATACCCAGTTCAGTATTCTTCCTTTACTCAAATTAAACCCTATTTATGCATCATATCCTTCTTATTTTAGGAGAACTTCCTAAGATATGTCCATAATGACAAATTATTTTAGTTTCCATCATCTGAGAATGTTGTTCCCCTTCGTTCCTGAAGGATGCTTTTGTTCTATATGGAATTGGCCTGAATAGTTCTTTTTCTTTAACATTTGAAAAATGTGCCATTTCTTTCTGGCCTCTATGGTTTTGGATGATAAATCTGATGGCATTCAAATTATTGTTTCCCTTAAAGGTAATGTGTCATTTCTCTCTGGCTGCTTTTAAGATTTTTTCTTTGTTTTCAGTTTTCTGAAGTTTGACTTATGATGTATCTTGAATTTTTTTTTTCCTACTTGGGGTTTTCTCAGCTTCTTGACTCTGTAGATTTACGTATTTTGTCAAATTGAGAAGTTTTCAGCTATTATGTCGTTATTTTTTCAGCACCGTATGTTATCTCTACCCCTAGAACTCTGATTGTATGAATGTTTGTTACTGTCCTACAAGTCCCTGATGCCCTGCTTGTTTCTTTGTCTGTTTTTCTCTGTTCAGACTGAGTAAATTCTGTTGATCTGTTTTCAGGTTCACTGATCCTGTTCTCTGTCAATTCCACTCTACTATTGAGCACATCCAGCAAGTTTTTAATTTTAATTAGTATTTTTTCAATTTGATGACTGTTTTTGGTTCTTTTTAAAACATTTCATCCTTCAAGGAGAGTTACTTTCTATATACATGGACTTTCTTGGAAAAACTAATAACGGTTATTTATGGACTAATGTTACTCAAGACTTTAAACCTTCTCTGCAAAGTTGTCTCTGTAATTAGCAGATGAAGAATGAATAGATATAAATTTTTTTCTTTTTGTCTCAGGTAATTCCTTATTAGAGACACTAATAAAAGGGAAATGGGGAAGGAATTGGAGAAGATAATATA